GCTGTCCGCATTCTGGCTCAGGCCCACTGCCCCCGCTCCCCGGCGGGGTTCCTGGGCGCAGGCTCTCCCTTCCAGGGGAAGGAGGTAGTGATCATCGCTGTCACTTCCACCCTCACCCACCCAAAGACATCAAGGCTCAGCGTCTCCACCCTCTGGTGGCCGACAGCGCTGGGGGCCCTGAAAGTCCATCTTCAGCTCCCTATTTCACTACCCCGTCACCGCAGCCCCCTGAGGTAGAGGTTTAAATTCCCATCTTACAGATGAGGCACTGGAGGCTTTAGAGAGGGGGTATCATTCCCTCAGGTTCCCTAGTGTCGGCAGGAGCTGAGCCCAGCTGATGGCTAACAGGGAGTTCAGATCTCTGAGGTCAGGGATCGGGAGGGAGAACCCCGGCTGTGGGGCTGGGCTCCTTGCCACCGTCCACCCCTGTCCTCCCTTTGGGTCGTGCTGGGCATGGGGGAGGCCAGTGCCTGGCATCTGAGCTGGCTCTGAAAGAGGCAGCCAGGCAAGAAGCTCTGCTTCCCAGCCCTGGGCTGGGCCTCCACTCTCGGCCTGTCTGGGGGAATGCAATGGGGCTGTGTGCTCTGCGGACCTTCCTGTGGGGCCTGTGGCTCCTGGCAGGTACGGGGCACAGTGGCCTGGGCAGGGGCAGGTGGAGCTAGCTCTCCTCAGAAGGAGACTCTGCTGTTTGTGGGCTGGCTGGGGCCAGCATTTAAATCTTGATGGCTTCTTTGGGCCTCGGTTCCTCCAGCTGGGTATACGGGGGCAAAGCTGGCCTTGGTGGTTTTGCAGAGGCTCTGGCCAAGCTGGGGTTGGGCCATGGCCTCTTGACCCAAGCTGGGGCCAGAGCACCTGCGGTGGGAACCTCCGAAGGGGAGGGTGAGGTGGCCCCTTCACAGCCTGTGTGGGTGCTTTAGGGCAGAGGGACGGGGGGATTAGAGCCTGGGGGCTACTCAGAGTGCCACAGATGCACACTTCCACTTCCACTCACCCCTCCATATCGTCGCTGTCCACAAAAGCCATGCCAGGCCCTTTGATGGGTACCAGTGACATACTCAGACTCCTTGAGAGCTCAGCTGAGCGAACAAATACTTTCAATACACAGTTCTGGCTTGGAGGAACAGGCATTCAAGGTTTGTAGGGTGCAGGGTTGAGACCCGAGTGCCTGGCAGGGCCCAGCCTTGGAGGGATCTTGAATGCCAGGGTGAGCGATTGAACCTTAACCAGCATAGAAACCTGACTAGGTGATCCTTTAGGAATAGATCTCTGGTTGCTTGTGGGGGGTTCTGAAGTCAGGCAAACTGGGGGATGCTAGACTGAGGCCCAAAGAGCTGGCGAGGCAGGAGGGTGGGGCAGGAGAAAAGGCGATTGGAGAGGATTTAGGGAGTAGCATCCACAGCATGGAGACTCACCAGACACGGCAGAGAAAGGGGCATCTTGGATTCCAGCCTCTGGGAGCCTCAGGGGACCATGAGAAAGCCTTTGTGAATTGGGAATTGGTTTGGTTGGCAAGTACTAAGTTCCTGGTCCCAGGAGGCATGTGAGTTGAGACTGCGGTTCCGGCCTTGGGTGCTGAGCCTTGACCTGGTCTCTCCCAAAGGCCTGACATGTCAGGAAGACGTGGACGAATGCCTGTCGGAGCCCTGCCTCCACGGTGGGACCTGCGACGACACCGTGGCGGGCTACATCTGCCGGTGCCCGGAGGCCTGGGGTGGGCATGACTGTTCTGTGCAGCTCACCGGTTGCCAGGGCCACACTTGCCCACTGGCGGCCGCCTGCATCCCCACCTTCGAGTCTGGGGTTCACAGTTACATCTGCCGCTGCCCACCTGGCACCCATGGATCTTTTTGTGGCCAGAACACCACCTTCTCCGTGGTGGCTGGGAACCCTGTGCGGGCGTCAGTGCCAGCTGGTGGCCCCCTGGGTCTCGCACTGAGATTTCGCACCACGCTCCCTGCTGGTGTCTTGGCTACTCGCACTGACACCCAAGGCGGCTTGGAGCTGGTGTTGGTGGGGGCCACGCTTCAGGCCACACTCTGGAGCCCCGGCAACACTGTGCTTGTCCTGAGGCTGCCAGACTTGGCCCTCAACGATGGGCACTGGCACCGAGCGGAGGTGACGCTCCGCCTAGGGGTCTTGGAGCTGCGGCTCTGGCATGAGGGCTGCCCTGCCTGGTCCTGCGTGGCCTCCAGTCCTGTGGCCCCGGCTCCTACAGCTTCCACGGCCCCGACACCTGCCGGGTCCTGCTCCGTCCAGCTGGGTGGCGTGGCTTTTGCGGGCTGCCTCCAGGACGTGCACGTGGATGGACACCTCTTGCTGCCTGAGGATCTTGGGGAGAATGTCCTCCTGGGCTGTGAGCGCCACGAGCAATGTCATCCTCCGCCCTGTGCCCACAGAGGGGCCTGCGTAGACCTGTGGACTCACTTCCATTGTGACTGCCTCCGGCCCTACAGTGGTCCCACGTGTGCTTATGGTGAGGAGCGAGCCAGGTGGGCCCCAGGGCAGAGGCCGTGTCTTCCCCCCAGCCCCAGGCCTCACGCTTGGCACCCTCTCTCCCTGCAGAGGTTCCTGCTGCCACCTTCGGCTTGGGGGGCGCCCTGAGCTCTGCCTCCTTCTTGCTCCAGCAGCTGCCAGGCCCCAACCTCACCTTGTCCTTCCTCCTCCGCACGCGGGAACCTGCTGGCCTGTTGCTCCAACTTGCCAATGACTCAGCAGCTGGCCTGACGGTGTTCCTGAGAGAGGGCCAGATCTGGGCCGAGGTCCTGGGCAGTCCTGATCTGGTGCTTCCCGGGCGCCTGGATGACGGGCTACGCCACCTGGTGACACTCAGCTTTGAGCCTGACCAGCTGCAGGGCGTGGGGCAGCAGGTGCACGTGGGCGGGAGGCTCCTCCCTGCTGATGCACAGCCCTGGGGTGGGCCTTTCCGAGGCTGCCTCCAGGACCTGCGACTCAATGGCCTCCACCTCCCCTTCTTTCCACTGCCGCTGGAGAACTCGAGCCAGCCCAGCGAGCTGAGCGGCAGGCAGTCCTGGAACCTCACCATGGGCTGCGTCTCTGAGGACGTGTGCAGTGTGAGTGCTCTTGTAAACGGGCGGGTCCCTTCTGGTCCCTGCATCTCCAGCGTTAGCATGTCTCTGTACTGGTGAGGAAAGTGCCCTGGCCAAAGTCCCACTGTTAGAGAGTGACGGTGCATCTCTGGCCCAGCTGCTCTTGCCCTCTGGTGGGTCCCCATACTTCCTCTCAGTCCTGGTCTGGGAGACACCCTGACCCAGGCAAGGGCTGTCTGAGCCTTTATGCAGGTACTGTTTGGGGGACAGGGACCCCCTTTGCTCACAAACAAAGCACCAGCCCTGGAACTGGATAGCCTGGGTGTGAACTCTGGCTCCTCTATTTACTGGCCGGGCGACTCAGCCAAGTGACTGCTCCTCTTTGGGCCTCAGTTTCCTCATTTGTAAAATGGAGATGATAGTGACTTCCTCTTCAGTTGTTTGTGAGGGGGTAATGTGTCTGTAGCAGGCGCTCCATGACGAACCGCCGGTGTGACGGTTCCGGTGGGTGATGCTACCAGGCCTGAGCCAGTCCCTGTCCTGATTCTCCTGCAGCCTGACCCCTGTCTCAATGGTGGGACTTGCCTCGTCACTTGGAACGACTTCCATTGCACCTGCCCTACCAACTTCACGGGGCCCACGTGTTCCCAGCAGCTGTGGTGTCCTGGCCAGCCCTGCCTCCCACCCGCCACCTGCGAGGAGGTCCCCGATGGCTTTGTCTGTGAGTGTGTGCCCTGGACAGCCCATGTGCTGGGTGCTGGACACCCAGGCTGGGTTAGATCCCACCCCTACCCTCAAGGCTCCTAGTAGACCAGGATGCCACCAGTCCCGTCCCACTGTGGTTGGGCCACTGCATGAGGGACAGGCTTTCTGGAGAAAGAAAGGTTTTGCTGTTTTCAGGGGTAAATAAGACTCTGACCCAGCTCAGGGAGGACAATTCAGGGAAGGGCAATAGCATGTGCAAAGGCCCTGAGGTTTATAAGAACAACTGAAACAAGTGCAGGCATTTGGGGCGGAGAGGTTGCCTTAAATGCTAGGCCAGGTAGCTCAGGACTTTTTCCCAAGGGCAGGAGGGAGGGTTTTAAGCTGGAGGACATGATTTGCATTTTAAAGAGCTGACTGCATTTCATTAAAATGCATGATCAACCTCTTAAAAATCTGCATTTAAAAAAGATGACTTAGTGCAGTGAAGAGTAAGCCTCGGTGGTGGCACAAGGCCACTTCACCAAGGAGGGAAGAGGGCGGATTTTTTGAAGGGTCACTATTACCCGCTCTGTGCCCTGGAGGGTAGGGTGGGCACGGTCTAGCGGTAGGGAGTCATGACGGGGCAGGAAGCCACGGTGGTGGGGCCCGTGGGGGCGGCAGGTGGTGTCCCCCCGCGCTGGGGCTGGGGTGGAGTGAGTGCTGGTGGGCCAGCATCACTGACGCGCCCTCTCTCCGCAGGTATGGCCGAAGCCACGTTCCGAGAGGGCCCCCCAGTCGCATTCAGCGGGCATAACGCGTCATCGGGGCCCGCACTCAGCGGCCTCTCCCTCGCCTTCCGCACGCGCGACTCCGAGGCAGGGCTGCTGCGCGCTGCCG